TTTGAGCAGCATCATGGAACAACCCAATGAACCCATACTGCGGACCCTGCCTCTGCCTAAAGTCCCACAGACAGGAGTGTGCTGCGACTGCTGGCTGCTGCCGCCCGACTTTAAGTTGAGCATGCCGGTGTCAAAAACCATCTTGTACATAAATTCAACATGAATGACTCAGATCAGTGTGCTATGTGCAAGTTGAAGTTGCAACTCTTTGGAATGGATGATCCAATAAACCATCTAGCATTGCCTGCTAGCTGCTGCATTGCCAGCATCATGCACAGCGGAGACAAGAGGAGAAAACTTATCCAAGATGTATAAATGTACAACTTTCTTTGGGGGAGGGAACAACAATGCTGATGATAAAAGTGATATGCAAATGAAAATCTTTACTTACTGTAGAGATTTTTACCTACTGTAAAAATCTACTCTACTCTTTAGTTTACTGTAACTGTAGGTTGGCTTACCTACTACGTACTAATGAACTTTAGACAGGTGGCCAAAATGGAAATGGTGCTTACACTTACAGTTCCTAGGGTAAATGTACCATATTCCGACATTGTGGGTAATTCTGACACTTCTCAACTTTTTCCTTTATATTAAGCTTTGTCACACATGCATAGATGGTTGAAATAGTGGCGGTGTAGCGGTTCCCGGTAAGCCCGCACAAATATGCGAGACTGTAGCTCTTGAGTCCGTGGACATGGAAACAAATACTGAATGCGGTCAGAAGAAGTCACATTCAGGAAGGCATGAAACATAGAAAACACTAAACAATTTACTATTAACAAAATACAAAATGGCAGATACAACAATAACTGGATGGTACCTATTCTAATTGAACACTAGCGGTGGTGTCAGTTCAGCCCACTTGGTGGTCTGGGTAAAGTGCTCTAATGAGTGGACCACTGAGGCCTCTCAGCGTCGTAATTTTGAGTAACTACCAAATAATAGTAAAGTCAAAATGGAAAATAGTTATTAACAGCTTCTGCTGCCAGATAATAACAATGTCTTACTCAAACATTAGCCAAGGGCAACTATGGTTTTTACAACCATAAATCAAGTATTAACCATTCCTAGTTGTAGTAGTAATCAAGTAGTATTCATAAATCAAGTAGTAACCATCCCAAGTAGTAGTAGTAATCAAGTAGTAATCATCACAGGCTTCAGGTACAAGCCAAGGAGTGATAGTTGGCAAGGCAGAACTTGACCACTGGTGGAGGGATGGAGATCAATGCTGAGTGGCTTGTGGACCACACTCACATACCACACCCAGGCACACCACACTCACTACACACTGCACTCAGCACCAACACTCTTACCTTATGGCAGGAAGTATGCCCAAAGGGTTGTAGCCATCTTACCTTTTCCTGGGCTGTTGGGAGAGCTAATGGTTGTCTAGGGCCTAGAGCACACTTTGATAGCAAATGGTATGTGGCTAGCAAATAGAAACAAATAGGTGCCAAGCACAGGAATGCATAAGTAGACTAGGTCACACAATACCTAAATGTTGAACATCAATGGAAGTAAAGCAAGAAAAAAAACAGTTATGCAGTTCAAGAATTAAATCTGCAAATCCTAATTTTGCACTTTGGGTATATAGCTAGTCAGACTAAATCCTAATTTCACACTTCTGGTTTGTTAGCTAGTCAGACTAGAGTTTCAACTACTCTTGACACAACATGATTCCCTCATTGATGTATGGGGCATTCATGAGTGGATTATGAAAGACAACTGGTCCTACTAAGTCGCACAAGTCATTAAATTTACCGTACTCCTATACTCCTAGCCACACTAGCATCATAATCAGTAAATATACTCCTGGAAACGACTAGAAAATTTACTCCTGAAAGAAACTAGAACTAGAAAATATACTCCTGGAAACAACTAGTCACATATGTCTGGATTCAAAGTATCTAGGAAAAGCGCAAGGCTTATAAGCTTCAAGTTGGTATCTAAATCAAATTTTGGTTCGTAGGTGGAATCTCTTATCTTCTTTCTTGATGGCCAGGAGTTGGTCAAGTGATCATTGGTTCTCATCAAGAAGACTGTAGCTCCACACCAACCACTCCTAAACGACAAATAAATGCGTTCATAAGAACTAGCTTTCTAAAAATATTGACATCAGGAGGATGTTTAAAACTGTTTTGTCAAACACACTAAGTCGCGAATGCCTGGGTTGCAGAAAAATAAAGTTATTCAAGAGTGGACACAACATGGTTCATGTAAGCAAAATGAAAATTGTGCAATAAAAGGACAGGATTAACATGAGATCCAGTCAAAACCATTCTTCATTCTTTATAAACAGGCATGAATAACTGGAAAACATTTGTTAAGAACTCAGTAATGACAAATAGTAGCCTGGCAACATTTTAATGAGATGAAATGCACTGTACTCACCAAAATGGAGCATCAGGATGGGATTAACCAAGCAGAGGTGTAGATCAATCATGCATTAAGGCGTCTTAAACAGGCTTTTGAAGGTCAAAAAAGAATCAGGTGCAACCAGTGAATTTCCAATCCAGCAATCAGGGGTGCAGATTAATCAAAAGTGCATATCATATGGACTAGCAAGAATCTTGTCTCATTATCTTTTACTCTGCTTAAATATCACACCAGGGGGAACAAGCTACACAATTGATAAGATGCACATGACACTCAAACAAAATGAAATAAAACGTGACATACATTAAGGTACAATGTGAATGAATGATTCAACTGTATAATATAGCTCATGTTCTGCAGCCCTCTTCAGCGGTGATGTCATACTATTGCACGTCAGATTCCTGCAAAGTGCAAAACACTAGGTCTGGTGGGAAAATGTTAATATCCTCAGAGTGAAAGTCCAAGTCAAGTAGGTACTGTAAAATGGGGGTAACCTTGACCACTTTTTTTTCAAAATGATGCCATTTTTTTACTAGATAAGTTAAACTTGAATTGAAACATGCAAAATACAGGTCTATACTCTAGCTTCACTCACCATAAATTGCTGACTCCTGCCTCTCATAGTTTTGATGTAATTTAAAAAAAAAGTGATGGTCTTTGTTACCCCAGCTCTTGGGGTTTCTTTGACCAGGTGGTAAAATCAATTTTATTTTTTGGTAAAATAAACTCCAAATAACTCCAGGTTGTGGTGCATTGTAGTAGAACTCTTCTAGTTACATATGCAAAAGACAAATTTTAGGAAAGTGTCATAGTTTGCAAATGAGCGGCACCGCCCCCCAATAGGCAAAATGTCACCACCTAATGGCAGCCGTGATGGGGTAACATTGACCGGTTTGGAAATTAAGTTAAAATTACCATATATAAGACTCTGTGGAGTCTGAAACATAAAGAAAAAAACATTAATAGGTGTATCAAACATAAAATATGTTATATAGGTACCTATGGTAATTTTAACTTAATTTCCAAGCCGGTCAATGTTACCCCATCACGGCTGCCATTAGGTGGTCAAAGTTCCCCCATTGGGGGGCAGCACCCCCCATTTGCAAACTATGACACTTCCCTAAAATTTGTCTTTTGCATATGTACTGTAACTAGAAGAGTTCTACTACAATGCATCAAAACCTGGAGTTATTTTACCAAAAAATAAAAAAATTGGAGGGGGTACTCCGACAGGCTTTGAATAATAGCTCTTTTTTGTGGGTCACATTATTAATTTTTTAACCTATTAGATATGCAAACTTTTCAAATCTTTCTATTGTGTTACATAGCCTCAGTATTAGGCCTTTAACAGCCATTGACAAAATTTTTCTATGTCAAATCGTTTTTGAGTTTTGGGGGTTTTTGTTAAAAAAACGAAAAGTGGTCAAAGTTACCCCGCCGGTCAAAGTAACCCCATTTTACGGTACATATATTGATGACAGGGATGAGGAAAGATGGTGGCTAAATGGGTTGAGATTTAGATTTATTAGTTACAAATGACTGTTGCTCTCCCAATTAATTTGTGTAAATATGTATAATGTAGATCAGAGTAAAGAAATAAATATTCAATATTTTTATTGATGGATTGAAGAATGATGCCATCATGCCACTGACCAATGCCTGACAACTGACAAGGGTTGGTCATAAAAATAAGACACAATATAAGCTAAATAGGATAACGATAATATGAAAAGAATATTGGGAATAAAAATTATAATTCATTTATTTTGTTGGCAATATTACTTCAAAACTATCTTGATTTAATTCTAAAGGCTGACCGCTGACTTGGTGTGTGGTAGTTGTGGAAGTTGGAGACTTTGAATGTATTTGAAGTATATGGAGCGTGTGGATATGAAGCTTAGGGAGTAAACAGTGCATGGGCATTAACAAATATTGCACAAGTCCTTATGGCCAGGGTCAAACTATTCTGCTGGGCACTTACCAGGTATATGCCAGTCACAGTCCAGTCCACAATTCTTGAATGCAATTCTATAGAAGCATTCACATCATGGGCATGGCAGGTGCCTTGCTTGGCTGGTGTGAATGCTTGTATAGAAATTCATTAAAGTATATTGGACTGGATCATTACTGGTATGTGCCAGACTGCATGATGTAAAACCAGTCCAATTATATTAAGAATGGCAGAGGAATTTTGTCAGTTCTGGCAGCACACTCTTTGTAAAGTTAAATATGTAATTTACTTGTAAATCAGCTATTGCAAGTATGGAATTCACTTGTAAAATGGTCACCAAACTTTCCATTTCATTACACTTGATATAAATCATGGCAAAAGTGAATGAATGCAAAAAGTTGTGGCTTGACAACAATTATGAAATAAGAGAGTTGAGCTACAGAAGAACATAAACTTAATGGCAACAATATCATGACTTCTACACTCTGGCATTAGTCTTTATGTCACCACATGATGTAACATGGCTACTTGATTTCTAGTCAGCTGTGGTGTTACTCTAAGGATCACAGTTTTGGAAGAATAGTAATCTGTTTCTGTTTCTGACCAACTAATGAGTTGGTCTGATGTGTATGTTTATTTGTTTTAATGTTTTGCAAATTTCTAATTCCAGAGTTTCAAGTTTCCAGAAACATGCATACTACATTTCAAAAGCTGTGCATCAGGTCAGAGCCAGGCTTTGCCTATGATAAAAGTAACATGGTACAACTCACTGATGGTGGCTCTTTTAGTGAAATGCTTGTCAAAATCACCTCAAAATGTGATACAAGCTTGATGTTGTTATCTTCTCACAAAGGACCCATCAAACAGTTTGCCATCAAAGTCATAGGACTAAAGTCACCTAAGCCTGCTTCTTCAGTAACATCTGCAGTGCTCTCAGGCCTCAAGAAAGGCCTTTCATTTATAAATGGTAGTGCTGATATGCCCAATGTCAGTGATGAAGACCAAGTAGCTGAAGCCTGGCAAGGTATTGAAAGTCAAGGCTATCATGGCATGCAAGTACTGACTCTGATTGACTCGCAAGTGCTGCCTGACAATGAATGCAGAGAGCTGTACAATCTTTGGCAATTTGTAACAATCACCCTGCAGAGCATCAATGCATACTACATGTTCCAGAAGCCAGCAAAAGCTTTCCAATATGATTCAGACTACAGCTTCAGTCAACTCATGCAGGCTTATCCTTCAGCTGACACATTTGCTTTGGCGGTCCTCTGGAAGTTTGAGAATGAACGTCCTACTGGTCAGTGCACAAATAGGTAGTCTGATATTTCATTGTTTTGACTGAAGTGATAAGATACCTAAATATTAATGTTAGTTCTTCATTACTTAGATTTCATTTAATCAATCTTGTTGCATCCAGTTTTGTTTATAGTAACGATAATATCGATAGTATAGTAACGATAATATTTCATGAGACAGTCGCACTTGTGGGAAGCCTATAATTGCTTGCAGCGGCATTAGAATGTGCCCACCATATGCTTGGTTTTGCTTTACCATATCACATTTGTAGTCACGATTGTGCCATTATATGGTTATTTTTGCTGAGTTGCACTAACATATAATTAAAGTTTGTTATATTCATTTATGATAAAATAATTCATCAACTTGTGTTGGTATTCACTTCTTATATTTAAGATTTACCTCCAACTTGCATTCATTTTTCTTTCAGGACCTATCCGTGCTACGCCCATCATTCGCTCATCTGTTTTTTCACCACAACCACGACTGCCACGCACCAACATCACTACTACCTCCACCACGACCACCATAACCAAAAGAAAGATTCCTGATTCTCAGGACTGTTCTTCTTTAAGGTCTGAGAAGTTCTTAGCTGTTCAACGTGGACGACGTGGAGGTAATAGTGGGGTGGCTGTGGCTGAACCTCCACAGCAGGTGGTTGAGATGGAAGTAGAAGTTGAGGAAGAGGAAGAAGAATTCGAGTCTTTCTCTTCCCGCGAATCCAGCCCAGTTGTACAAGGAATTACCAAACTTAAAGTTGCTAGTCCCATAGTTGTTACTGCTGCTGCTAAATCCGAAGCTGCAAACAAGAATGTTTCAGAGCCTTCAGTATCACAGCCAGAAATTCCTGTTCCCAGCAAGAGAACTTCTCGCAAGAAAATGATAGTGTCTGAAGCTGAAATCGAACAGCCACCCCCGATTCCTGTGGTGGAAGTACGTCAGTCTGAAGTTTCTGGTGCTAGCATGAGAACTTTTCGCAAGAAAGGCAATGCTCTTGAAGCTGAAATCGAACAGCCACCCCCGATTCCTGTGGCGGAAGTACATCAGCCAGAAGTTTCTAATGCTAGCATGAGGACTTATCGTAAGAAAGCCAATGCTCTTGAAGCTGAAATCGAACAGCCACCCTTGATTCCTGTGGTGGAAGTACGTCAGCCAGAAGTTTCTGGTGCTGGCAAGAGGACAACTCGTAAGAAAGCTATTGCTCCTGAAGCAGAAATCGAACAGCCAACTCCGATTCCTGTGGCGGAAGTACGTCAGCCAGAAGTTCCTGTTGCTGGCAAGAGGACCTATCGTAAAAAAATCATTGCTCCTGAAGCTGGAATGGAACAGCCACCACCAAATCCTGTAGTTGAAGTACAGCAGCAGGAAGTTCCCGATGTTCCTCTCCAGCCGAAAACGAGGCGTGCACCAGCTAAGCGGCAAGTAGACAGAGTTATCCGACCCTTGTTATACAATGGAGATCCGTTGTGATCAAAAATATTGCATTATATTGACTGTACAGTTGTATAGAGAAAAGCAGGATGTATCTATTGTGCACATGATGAATTATTCCATACTCAAATCAAAAGAAAATTGCTTCGTATAAACTAAATTAAAATAATTTTATGATTATTGCATAAGGCAACATTTATATATTTATTTACAGCGCGGTCGCGGCATCGCAGCCAAGCAGTCGCCGTAGTAAGAAGGCACCAGAATCTTCAGCTGATGACAGCCTGGAGACCGAAGTGTCCATCCGTCCTTCTGTTGCTGCCCCTCCTCCACTTCAGGTATTGCCGCAACTTTACCCGGCTTAATTTATTGTATTATTTTGATGCCCTTGTGGAGAAACACTTTCGTTTTATTGTGTTATAGTTCCATTCTATGTTGCGAAATTAATGATTCACTAAAACTACGTCTATTCCCCTGCTCATGCCAATTAACTCATCTTGTAAATCAATTCTTCCTGCATACCTAAGTTTTGAAATTATTTTAGCTTTCACATTTTCAATGATCTAATAAATTGTTTTTCTTGCATGTTACAAGTCAGTTAATTGAAAACCTCCGAATTTTGTTTTAACACTAATGGGATGATTGTTTTTCAACCACAATGATTAGAGTTGAGAAGATATTCAAAGCTTCAACAGAAAACTTTGATTAATGGTTATCCTCAAATTAGCAAATAAGTTGTTTTTAATCTACTAGAAAATTTGGTCCTGAGTAGCAACATTCATGTGTGCGTTTTGTGGGAATTGATTGGAATTGAAGTCCATTTACATTTGAAAGAAATCAATGCTCATAAATTTCTTTTGTTCTTCAAATAAGTTTGATAATGCGGAAGTTCGTCACGTGAGAGTTTATTGTACTTTGGTTCTATCCGTAATATGGTGGCAAAAATGTAGCATTTGATGATGTATTTTATGTTGTTGCTGTGTCTTGTATGACACAATACGTTTCTACTTCACTCGATTACATCACTCAGTATTTACCTGCAAGAAACATAAGCGACATGATCGCGATACTTGTGAGATCATGACACAGCCTCATGAATTGACGCGAAGTATGGAGTTCCAGCAAAATTTCAACCAAATAGTTCCATTTTAAAATAAGGAAGATTATTATTAATAAAAGGAAGCTTAAATTATAAAGTAAGGAAGCTCAGCTCTTTGGCTTAGATTGCCGAGATACTAACCGCGAACATATAAAGGAAAGATTTGGCTACTGCATAGTTTCACGGATAGCATTTCTTAGCCTCTCGCCAAGATACGCTCGAAAATATAATTAGTATTCAGTACAAAGTTCCTATATCGGCGTGTCCTAGAGACACATTTTAACGGCTTCTTTTACACTTTCAGTCTCACGAACGATTTATTTAAGTTTTTCTCACTATTTATGCAGTGTCAAGTCACGCTAAGCTTTACTAATTTGGTTTAGTGTCAAACTACAAAATATTATCTACATATTTCTTCTAGTTTTTTTCACTTTTTATTCAGTGTTAAGTAATGTTAAGCTTTACTAATTTGGTTTAGTGTCAAACTACAAAATATCATCTACGTATTTCTTCTAGTTTTTTTCACTTTTTATTCAGTGTTAAGTCATGTTAAGCTTTACTAATTGGGTTTAGTGTCAAACTACTAAATATTATCTACGTATTTCTTCTAGTTTTTTTTCACTTTTTATGCAGTGTCAAGTCACGTTAAGCTTTACTAATTTGCTTCAGTACCAAACTACTAAATTTAATTTCTTGGCAGGAGGAGGCGATGGAAACTGACGAGGGCCAGGACCAAACCATCATGGACCCCACCAACATGACTCTGGCTTTTGATGAGTAAGAATGACTGTCAATTATAACCTGTGTATTGAGTAATTAACGTGATGTGTAATTTTGCTGATGAAATTTATGTCAATTATATTCATTAAATTATTCAAGTAATTCACTTAATAAACATATCCATTGCTCCTATCAGTAGGAGACAGTGGGAACATGTGAACATGAATAAAATAAAGAAATTTATGAAAAATTAAATCTTTTCAGAATTAAAGAGAAGCTGATCAAGTGTTTATTTGATGGATCTTAAGATTAAAATTAGCTGCTCAGTTCCTTCAAGTTTGAATTGCAGAACATAAATAATGGAAATTATAAAAATTGCCATAGTTTTTCATAAAAAAATGGCAGTGATCAAATAGACTTCATGATGATACCTGTCCAACTTGTATTTGTTGATGTGTTGAAATGAGGCTCTTCGCTTAAGTAGAATTTACGACATGCTGAATCTCTTCAGCTTCATGATTGAAAAACATCCTGGAAATCTTGTAAATAATATTCTTATAATTTCAATTCTGATTCAGTTCTGCAATTAATTTTATTTCTGTTCTGTTTGTCGTTGATTTCAATTTCTGTTTCTACATAGGTTGAACAGATCATTACCTCTTTTAATTAAAGTTTATTTGTAATTTTCTGCCGTATTCCAGAAATTTATCAAGAATCCAATCTTGCATGAGCACCTTTTCCGAAACATAAACTTATATTTGTGGCTCACATAAAACTTATTAGTTCGTGCTCTGCACAAACAACAATCTTTACCAGACAAGTTTTTTGTCTATTCTTGGCATTACTACCTGTTCTGACAAGATACTTTACAGTTACAAATCCCATGTTACAATGATAATTATAACATGGAACTATAGAATAAATGCATCATAACTCTATTCATCAATGTTCAATTAAAGAATAAACCTTGCTTATATATTGTACAGCGCCCCCGACGCGGCCAAGAAGCCCCGTGGTCGGAAGAGTATGGTGGCGTCAGCACGCAAGAGCCTCGCCAATGAATGGCCTCAGGCAGACCAGGATCACATGCTGCACTTCTTTGACAATCTCAACCCTCAGCACTCGGAGACGTCTAGAGTGGCGCTCTCTTGCAAGTAAGACACTTAGCAACGCTAAGCAGAGACGTCTAGAGACTCAAAGAGACTCAACCCTCAGCACTCAGAGACGTCTAGAGTGGCGCTCTCTTGCAAGTAAGACACTTAGCAACGCTAAGCAGAGACGTCTAGAGACTAAGAGACTCAACCCTCAGCACTCAGAGACGTCTAGAGTGGCACTCTCGTGCAAGTAAGACACTTAGCAACGCTACCAGGCGGTCGCATTCTGATCCTGATGATACAAGTAAGACACTAAACGATACAAAACTAAACGCAAGCATTCTGCTTGACTTGAAGGCGAGTTATCACCGAAAAGTCAGACAAAAATATACCCCTCACAGAGCTCTTAATTGAATATTCTTAGCTCCATTTTGATAGACAATAGAATTGACATGTTGTCAGTTGAGGTTGAGGAAGATCTAGTGATTAAAACCGTGCGCTTGTGATGCAGGATTCCCGTTTGTATTTTTTTATCTTCTAGATCAATTTTTCTCCTCGAACTGCAAGTACGAGTTTGTAATGACAAATTGTTTGCATTCACGTTTATTTCCTGTTAGGTCTATCAATCTTACACTTCTATCCGCATGTAACATATGCTAAAGATAAATAACTGCAAATATCTTTGAATTAAACGTTTATGTTTTGTTCGCTTCTGAACAAAATTATTTTTAGCTTTTCATAACTTTAAAACCATTTTTCAAGTTTTCTGCATGTCATTATTGCTTGCCTACTAAATGCTGAATAAAATGACACTATATTTTGGTATTGATTCTCGTCCTGCTCAATTTCAGGTACGCGCTCCTTCAGTATGACCGCGACCTGTCGTCCAAACTCCTGTACCAGTGGATCGAGCGCAAAGGACGCACAATTCAGCGTGAAGTGACTGACTTCAACTTGCCGGAGACTGAACAGAAGAGCACGGTGCTGAAGTTGTTCAGCAGCCTCAGTGAAGTTCAGAACGAGGCAACCAGAGTTTCTTTCGTCCTGAAGTTTATCCAGACGCAGTACGGAGTGACCATCACTTCCAAGCAGCTCTACACTTGGCTTAAAGAAAAGCCCAAGAAAGGGAAGAAGTAGTAACGCATTTTTGTTTATCCAAACTGAATTTCTAAAAAGCAACTTTTTGCAAAAAAATCTGGAAACGCTTTCTTAATAAGACTAAATCTAGAGGAATTCATATGAGTCATATCTGAAAACTACTAGCTTCGCTGGAGTATATTTTTACTGGGTACTTAATTGAAAGTCGAGTCTAAGAGATGAAAACAATCCTCAACTCTTTCTGAATCCGAAATAATTGTGAGCCTCCTTGCTATGAGTTTTAGTAATAACTGCTGCCTTGTTGAAGCGATGATTGCTCAAGATCTTTATTGATACCTCAGTACCTGATCACATTACAAACATCACTTGAACAGACAGAAATTTCTGTCTTTTACTTTATTTTCTGTCAAGACAGCAGCTCTATTTGAAAACTTTCTCCGAGTTCTAGTTATAGTTGAACTTTACCTACGTTACCTATAGCTTGTTCTGCGATGGTGCTTTGAAATCGACCACTGTATAATCGCCACAAGTTTAGTATTGACAACTATTCTTGTCCGTGTATCTTGTCTTGATAAGTGAAGCAATTTTATTGCTTTGCTATTAGTTTTCGCTGAGCGTTTCACGAGTTTCAGTGCTTCTCTACTCGTGATTTTCAGTTTCAAATATGAAGTTTTTATTTTAATGTTGCCTCTAAGTCTTAAATCAAACGTCGAAAAACCATGGCTGAATCAGTCTCATTTTGACTGTTTTTTCTAGTTTAGTGTCTCTTCTGAAGGAAGACTATAACCTGGCAGGAACTGAGCTCTCCTTGGTCGTTTACTACGGAAAAATGTCTTTATTTTAAATCTTTTAGAAAACCGTTTCTTTTTAATCTGGTCGAGGGCAAATGATGATTTTTTTTGCACTTAGTTCAGCCTGAGATTTAGTCTTTCCATCAAGCGGTTAGAATCATGTTTAAGGCCGATATTTTACGATTCAAATCTAAATTTTTAATGTTGTCAAACTTTTTAACGTAGAATGTTTACATCTCTCAAATTTCTTGTACCGATATGATTCAACGTTCATACTTTTAATTCCGTGGAAGAAAGAATGCGTCTCTCATGACAATATATTCTATCTATTGCCCGTTCTGACTTTATTTTGAATTGAAGGAAGTTATATTGTGTTCCATTTCTAAGACTACCTATACTTTTGAAATTTTTTTGCTCTCATAGTTCAAATTCATACAGACCTCGTCCTATATCGTGATTATTATTACCCTTATTCATTAATATAAAAAAATTACGAGTTCGCAATTCTGTCAGTTAATTTACGGAAAGCTTTTAAAGCTAATCCTACCAATCACAGACCAAAAATTGGCCGCTACGTGTACTTAGTGTACTTGGCTGTTACATGTATTTGAGCCGCTACGTGTACCTATGCCACTGCGTGTACCTAAGCTTTGTTATGTATTGACTTCGCTTTGGTCCGGTATGATTCAATGTCACATTATTTAATGTTTCTCGCGTCTGAATTTTTTGCGCCAACGGGCCGTTTTTAGACGTTGAAGCTAAACACTGATAAGATTGATCAAATTTACCTGTTTGAGAAATATTTTGGCCTTGGAATCCGATTTCTTTCGCTCTGTGTGTGATTGTCCTATTCAACTTATCCGTATGACCTGGAAAATTATACTCGAAATAAACTTGAAATAAAACGAAACATCGATAGTATCAACTCGTGCTCTCATATTACTGTACATAATTGTTCTAATTTGAGGTACAATTGTAATGGTTTTAACTAGTAACTCTTATTATCAGGCCTATAGGTACGAATAGCATTGACGGATATTAATGTATCCGTAGACAAAAAGGTAATTTTCACCTTATGAACCCTCAAGGAGGCGCCTAAATGCGTCGAAGGGAACTGGCACTCCCTGGGGCACTGAGTTCACCTTAACCCTCTACCGCCTGGCATGAGTAACCGGAGCAATTTTGTCACAAGCCTACTACCCAAAAAGGATCCGTTCTAGTGAGCGCAAAATGACTTGACTGATGGTTGCCACCACGTTCGACAACTTTAAAATGTTCTCTGTTGCGTACAAACGTCCTCTGGTTGCACCACTCAGAACTTTACGTATAATTTAAGTTGAAAGTTGTGTTCTTGGAGAGTGACGTACGGCGGTAGACGGTTAAGATCCTTTCAGGTTATATTCACTCGCGTTCGTTTAGGGACAACAGCCCAAAGCCATACTTCAATTTGACGTATTCCATCCACTCTCGTAATGGGTCATCTGATGCTCTAGCGGGCGAAGCAGAAGGCATCTAGACTGCGTTATACCAACTGCGCCGGTCCTGGACGATGCGGTGCAGTGGAGCCGCGACGCAGTCGGTGGTGCAGTGGGGCCACGACGCAGTCGGTGGTGCAGTGGAGCCACGACGCAGTCGGTGGTGCAGTGGAGCCGCGACGCAGTCGGTGGTGCAGTGGAGCCGCGACGCAGTCGGTGGTGCAGTGGAGCCGCGACGCAGTCGGTGGTGCAGTGGGGCCGCGGTGCAGTCGGTGGTGCAGTGCCTTTTGTAATAGTTTTGGAACTATATCTACTATAGTTATAGCACTATACGAACTGCACGAAATTTTCTCTGCATCACACATCATGCTTCCGAAGGCCATTTTTTTTTCTGCGCTGCAAGCTCCAGCCATCGTATCCACTGTGCCTGTTCAACACGCCGCGCTTGCACCTATTTAATATAGATTTTGATTTATCTTGACCTGCTACGTCCCACTAAGTTAATACAATGCAAATCCGTATTTAATACAAAACGAATTTGGTGTTCCGGTTATGGAATATATCGAACTTTCTGATATTCCTCTTTCTATGTAATCTCTTTTACGTCACGCAGAGCTTCCTGTTGTGCCTCTGTCTTGTATACAAATCATACGTCTGACTATATCTTCACTTGGTCCCAAAGAAAGATGCTGAGGTAGTTAAGCTCCATATTTTTTTATGATCTTTAAGAGAGACTAAAGGAACTGCCAGTGCAGTGAATTGTATGCTGTATAAATTTAACCCTTCAAATTTTGATTTCTTTCACTTTTATTTTCTTCCTTTACGGATACCTCGTCCAGCACATCTCTTAAATTCTGCCGGTAGCTCTAGTTATTATAATTTGCATTATTTAAAAGCAATGACTTCTAGCAAACTTGCTCGGGTGATCATCGATACCGATGCAGGTATCGATGATGCGGCCGCCATCTTGATGTTGTTGTCAGCCAACAAAAGAAGCCTTCTGCACATGTCAGCCATAACGACCGTGCACGGCAACACAGCTCTGCACAACGTCAACAAGAACGTGTTGCGGCTTCTGCACTGCGTTGACATGCTCGGCCAGGTCTGGTGCTTAAATAGGATTAATGTCCCACTTACCCACTTATATACAGTATATATTGAATATTGGTTCAACCTGAAATTCATGAAATCTACGCGGCGTTACATACGACGTCAAGAAAAACGTCTTTTACGACGTTTTACGTGTAATTTTAGGGTAACGTAAAGATCGCGAAATTTTTCCAGTATAACAGGCGACTTCGACAAAAACGTCTTGCGGCTGATGCAGTGTGTTTTGGAGATATTAGTAAAGAAACAATTAAGATGTGAAACTGTAATCATCCATTCCAAATGAAACTCTCAAACTATAAACATCATGCTTTGACTGCATGTTTATAGTTTTAGAACATTGACAGTTGTTTTAAATTCTCCGCTTAGGTTAAAGGACTTGGAATTAAATTCCTATTTAAAATTTGGTTATCAAGGCAAAAAGGCATTTATTGATGCATATGTTGAAATCATTTGAAAGTTAATTAAGACATTTTCTGGAGGTTATAGTTTATAGTTATTTTATCATCAATTAAATTCTTCCTTATTTGATCATCAGTTATTATCAGTTATATTATATATTATAAGTACTATTGCAGCAACTGCTCAATCTGCCTGTGCGTGTGGATCACATTGTGCATTGTTCGTACATAGGTCGCTGTGCACAGCGGTTGCAGTACACCTTTAGTACAGCCGTACGGAGAACAGTCCGCTCAGCCGTACCACGGCAAGGACGGCTTTGGGGACACCAATCTTCCCCATCCCGATCTCAACACACACCTTCATCCCATGCCGGCCGCCCTCAAAATTGTTGAAGAGGTTAATGCGTTCCCGGGTGAGTGTGTGTATAGAATAGAAATAGAAGTGTCGGCACTGAAGAAATAGGCCCATGGCCTGTTGCAGATTCTTGTACTTCTCGTGACTTGATTCACAAGGGATCCGGCCTTTGGAACCCGATCTTTCCATAACTGACGATTGATTGAGATAGCTGTTGGACTTGATGTAGCTGTTGGAAGAAGCCTGATGTATCAGTGCTTCTTATTCTTTAAAACAGTTTGTGCGAGCTCCACCTCTAGGAAAAAGGGACTAAGAGAAAAAATATAACTCAGTACTCACTGCAGTGTGTGACAGAGAGCGCATTTTCTCGTCAACGAAAACGTGGTCACGGACGAACAGACAGACAGACGGACGGACATGGCGAGCACAATAGCGCATTTTTTCCATAAATGAGAAAATGCGCTAAAAATTATCCAACTCCATCTTTCCCCTGGCACTCCCCAAACACAATTGTTATATTAAATTTATGTATACTTCAACACCTCACTCGCAACCATCGCTCCCCGCACTTTGAGCAGCATTTCTGTAGAACATTGCGGCGATCTCGTTGAAATGATCAGCCCTCTGATGTTTTGGTCATGTGACGAGTTCTCGATGGCACTCTTCATGGCTAGGCTGGTGCTCTGCCTTCAAGTCATCCTCCAATGCTGGAAATTGAACCCAGACCTCCTCAGTAAACGCCACGTACCCTACCCACTTGATCATTTACTCTATGTGGAAACCCAAACCACTTAGTACCGTTTACGCACATGTGAAAACAAACACGTTCCCAGGTCATGTTGCGAACCACCGCAACCGCCATCTCGTATGAACGGTGATTAATATTTATATGTTATATAATTTTACATCTTATAGATAATTTTGTGCTAGCAAGCCTTTTCATTTTGCTGAATTTGGACTTCTGCATCAAGTAGATAAACTTCGCCATTGGCTATGCTGTGTCTCGCATCCGATAAGCTCACGTTGCTACTTTTCTATAAATTATCAAAGAGTCGGACAATTCTTCAGATGACGTTGGTATTGAAAGGTATCTACTAAAACTACTTCCTGATATATGCCTTTCGATCTACCAACGTCATCTGAAGAATTGCAATTGTCCGACTCTTTGATAATTTAAATCAACGAATTCTCTGGTCATTAATCGCACGCGTATAAATCAACAAATTCTGCCATCTAAAACTAATTTTCTATAAATGTAAATGTTTTTGAATGCGCCTCTGAATGTTTTAGAGTTACAATACTTGGTATCCAGTCTTTCCAGATAAATGGTTACGGGATCATTACTTACTTAGCAATGAAAATTATGAGACGTTTTTTTCTCGTGGAATAATGCGGCTTGAATCAGTTATTATTATTCCTCTCAATTCATCTTCATTCATTTTATCAGTCTTCGCCATTTATTATCCCTATTTGTTCGTTACATGTTGCAGGTTCAGTGCATTTGCTGGCTATCGGGCCTCTGACGAACGTGGCCGTAGCCAAGATGCTGGAGCCTCGTCTGCTGTACAGACTTGCCAGTCTACACATCATGGGCGGCAACACCACAGGTCTGCTAACTTTATTTAATACAAACCTCTGGTCTGCTATGTGGGACCACGCAAGACTAAACAAATTTAATATTTTACTGTGTTATAGACGTTATTATACAAATTGTATTTAGTGGTCCTTTGATTTTACTTGATTTCTATATGTTCCATTTCATTTCACGCTTCTGTTAAATAAAAATAAAGTGATCATGAAAGTATTTAGTACTTAATTTGATATTAAAAGTAATTTCACTTTACATATAAATAATATGTTCTATTTTATATATAAGAGGAAAAGTAATTACCGGTAGCCTTCATCTTCATCAATACTTCTTTTTAGTAATCTGTCGCCTTCAACTATTAGCATACTTGCTGCAAGTCTCGTTACCAACTATTTCCAATCAGTATGCCATTAAAGACGCTTTTAGCAATCGTCGAAAAAATATCAATCCTGTGTCTACTGCTTGTAATTATCGTTTCAATTTCTTTGGATATAAATTGGCGACGATTAATACATCCACATTCAAATGGCAAGTCGATTGTTTCTTTCTCCTGAGGACGTGGCAACAAATCCACATGTGGCGAGTTTAACTTCTTATTCGATGCGGAGGCGGCGCAGAACGTCCTCAGTAGCTGTGGACTGCCGTCCGACACGTCCACGTTTACAGACGGTGAAGGGAGTCTGTGTCCAGTTTTCATAACGCCGCTGGAGACTTGCATCCAGGCCGTCAACTTCCCGTTCGTAAGTCCCTTTTGATATTAAACCAGCACTAATTTGTTCTATATTCTCAGCAAGAAGAAGGTCGCCAGTCCGATCTACTTTTTGCTGCGTTTGAGAATTTTAAAGGCGAGAAAGTCTCAGTGTTTACCACAGTGTCTGGTGTCAATCAGGCGTCTCATTCTATTCGTTATAATTGAGACGTGATGTTCACTAGACGTGGTAAAGATTGATGGAAAAGTACTAGAGCTGACCTAAGTAATAGACCTGACCTAAGTACTAGACCTGACCTAAGTACTAGACCTGACCTAAGTACTAGACCTGACCCAAGTAGTAGACCTGACCTAAGTACTAGACCTAACATCACGTGATATATCACGCGATCAAGCCTTCAGTTGTGAGCGGAAGCCGTGATTCTATGAAAGGGCTGGGAACCTAAGGGCCGGTACGTACACAGTGAGAGCAGGTTGCCAGCGTGCTGGTTACCTGCTCATGCTGGCGCCTGAAATCATAGAATACAGAAGCCTATTCGTACAGGTTTTCACTGTGAACACTTACATTATTATCCTATGTTCATTCTTGTGGCAGGTTGGAGCAGGTTGCCCGCACGGGCAAACCTGCTTTCACTGTGTGCGTACCCTACGACAAGCCCCCCAGTAGCTGACGAGAACGCACGCCGCAATGTAACTAGCGTTCAAGCTACTCCGATCTAACGGTCGACGTCTTACCCTATACTATACCTGCATCGTATCACTCATGTATTACCACCCCGTTTCAAGACAAGTTCTCTAGACAGATGACCTTTCCCTCACGCACTTAGTCAATGAATCCCTGTCCTCAGGTGGCGCTTAATATAGTAGCGCCTGACAACGGTTTAGGGTGAGACTTGTGTCATGGTTACCTCAGCTGAATGGTCCTGTGATCTCTCGTCGTAATATAATCGTTAACTTATTTCGTTAATCTGGTCCTGATATCATCAGTAATTCTTTATGTATTCTCAGCCGATAATAAATTCCTTGTGGAAATATAATCTCTATTTAGGGACTGAACGTTTGAAACAAACTAACATTATACCATGCAAGTAACTCGGCTTTCTTAAATCGATTTTTTTATATTTATTCACTCTTGCTTTTACACAGAGCCTTCGTGAAGAATATGGGCGCCACGACACGCCCCAGGCGAAGCTCCTGAACCTGGCGCAGAAGGGCTGCCCCACGGAGGGAGAGTACCGACAGTGGGCGACCTTTGATGAACTGGCCACCGCCCGCCTCATCGACACCCTCGTCGGCGACGCATTCTTGCCTCTTCAGGGTGACGAATAAATTAGTTTTCTTATTTTCTCTTAAGCGCATTTTCTCATTTTGAAAAAATGCGCTATTGTGCTCGTCATGTCCATCCGTCCGTCCGTAGGTCCGTCCGTCTGTCCGTGACTTCACGTTTTCGTCGATTTTGAGAAAATTAGCTCTCTGTCACTCACTGCAGTGAGTACTGAGTTATATTTTTTGAACAAAGCAAAATCTACGCGATGAAATGACTCTCTCTTTCTTTGTGATGAAGTTATGATTGAGTTGAGTTTTCAACTATAGGTTCAGTTAAAAATTGAAGAAACTTAAACTTTACTAACAATAAGATGTCATGTAAGATCATCTTTGATATTTCTCTTGTAAATGCATTATTTTTATTTTAAATGTCACTATAAAACGTTAAAAGAATGTCCAATTACGGAGCGGATGAGCGGAAAGATTATTTTTGTGTATTTTTTTAGGCTGAGAATATAATGGTGCTGCGCCGCTTTTAATTTAGACTTTTATTGTTATTGGCTACTGATATTACTTGTTTATTTCTTGCTTGCACAGACCGGCACTCGTACAAGCCTCTGAGCACGGCCACCCTAGACTGCAACGTGACTGTCGAGCTGCAGGTCTTTATCCTACCTACATTTATTTTGATCTGAGGAAGGCATTGTTTTTATTATATTCATGGGAAATCTTTATGAATCTAGCTAGCAAATCTTATTGATCTTGCAATTATCTGAAGTTGATTCAACCACGAAATGTTTTTGATAGAGCTTGTGAATTGTGTAGATCTAGAGAGCAGATCATCTAGCTAGTAAATGGTCTTGGATCTAACCAGCTAGTGGCGTTAATTGAGCCAACTAACCGTTTCGATTGAATGTCTATGCCTTTTCGATCTAAATTGTATAAATTATAAGAACAAAACTTGAACATACATGCCTTTTTACTAGAGAATGGTAATAATGATGGCTGTTATGATAAGAATAAAAATTGAACATACACGCCTGTTTACTACAGATTGGTAATAATGATCGGCTGTAATGATAAGAATAAAAATTGAACATACACGCCTGTTTACTAGAGATTGGTAACAATGATCGGCTGTTATGATAAGGGATTGGTAACAATGATCGGCTGTTATGATAAGAGACTGGTAACAATGATCGGCTGTTATGATAAGAATAAAAATTTTACAAACATGCTTATTTACAAGAGATTGCTAATAATGATCGGCTGTTACAGGGTAGCCACACACGTGGCATGATGGTGCTGGACCGCAGGCAGGAGATTCCGTACTCGATCCCCGCGTCTCTGCTCACCGGCGTTAACGTAGAACTCTACAAGCGTTACCTCACCTCTGTGTTCACGTAAATTGCCGTGAAAATATTCTATGTGCGTTTCGTTTTAACGTAGTTGTGTTTGACATGTTGTTATTAATGCTTTTTTGACGGTTTTTATTATTGCGTTTTATGTTCTTGTTTTTATGTTGGTAATTTCGGTCAGTATTTTTTTAATTTTTGAAGAGAGACTCAAGTAACGCTGATTCGCATTTAAAGTCGCCACTCGCTTCCATTCGCCACCAAACGTTTAGTTGACAAATTGGGCGTAGATTCATATGTTTTTCAGGACTGTGTTTTCCCTTAGGTAGTTTTTGTGCCTTTGGGTTGGGTTCTGGGTGCATGCATCGGGGTTTTAAATTGTGGTTGAGTCTTAATTGCTTAACATTTTACATTGTGTTTGGTTGGTAGATAGAGTATTGACTGAATGGCGCTTACAGCGTTAAAGCTGTTAATTGAGTGATCTTCCTCTTTGTTGCTAGACTATTTTGGAGTGATGTTAGTTTTTTTTGTTGATGAATGATGTTTTTTTTATGTAGTTCTATAAAATTCCATCAGCTTAAGCTCGCGGTAGAAGGTTAATATTATTTCTCTCATATTTTTATTTCACATTTCAATAACTTAATGAATACGGTCAAAAAATTTGATCCAAGTTTAGGCTTTCTTTGAACTATCTGATCTACTGATGCGTAGACAATTTCATGAATGACTTACTTTTGACTGCAATTTTCTTTAAGGTAAGAAAGTGCCAAAAGCTCTCTGCAGCTTCTATGAAATTTATTTTCCATGCAATATTATTGAAGGTAGATGACTGGCTTAGAGGACTGGATATTAGAGGACTGGATGCAATATTTCCATGCAATATTAGAGGACTGGCTAGAGGAAGGTAGAGGACTGGCTTATGCATGCGCTCGGCAGCTTTCCATGCACCTGTCTTTCGTTGCAATTCTATTTTAAGTTAAGGCAAGGACAGAGCCACTGCTGCTTTTCATGTAACCGCCTTACGTTGCAGCTTCATTTTATTTTATATGAGTAGCATGTGCCCAGTAGCTTTTTATTCTCGCAAGTCTTATTCTTAGGATAATCCTTTCTTACTTTTGTTTTTAATTGACAGTAAACCTTGAGTTTATTTCATTTACGTGGTCATTTTCCGCTTGTAATCTACAGTTGATTTTTGAAGGTACATTTTTCCAATTGAGCTCATCGTGAACAGGAATATAAAGGGTTTTTGGATTCACATGTTGCATGCCAAATGACGAATGACTTGAGGGCAGCATTAGAGATAATTTTTATTCTGAAACCAATAGCGTTCATTATGATTCTGCACACGATTAACGAAATACTTTTCGAAGACATAGAAGAGCCTTTATGTGAGTGGTTCATTTGATCAAAGACGATTACGTCATAATGATGCCGTGATGACAGCGCGGTGAAGTAAAGTTCACCTACAAATTTTAGTGCCCACAATAAAAAAATATCTCCAGATAGCAGTTTAAAATATTTTAACGAAGAATAAAACTTAAATATAATAAGCTTTAAATAAATAACGAAGAATAAAAATTCTGACTCAGGTTATTGGTCGTTTCGCCAAATGTTCAAGATCACCACAGAATTAACTTCTACTCCAGTCATGCTAGTACGGGTGGCGCATGCCGGAGGCCATCTTTGCCAAACTTCACACTTATTTCATATTATTTTCTATAGGTAGGAACGCTAGAGTGCATGAAGTCAAGTAGAGTCCTATGAAGTCAAGTGCTCAAAGCCATGGCGCCGGATGTCCACAGCCACTAAATAAGCTTGCCAAAGGTAAACATGGCCATACTGCATCTGGCCAAACCTCCTCTGGCCTAACCTATACAAGCTGCAACTTTTCTCCACCCAAAACAAACCTGAGCGGACCTAACCTAACCTCATTGGCTGCAAGAAGGTAGAAAGGCCGTCCAAGTGTGCGGGTAGCGCCAGTCATTGGCTGCAAGAAGATTGTGAGCCGGGACAGCGTGAATAGGTTAGGCTGGGGTAGGTACAGCCGGATGGGGAACTGTCTTCTTATGAGCGAGCATGCTTAAGCATTGGCTGAAGAGCTACGGCGCTATTATCTTTCGGCAATGTGTCGCTTGTCTGGATTACGGAGTTCACGCGTAGTCTGCGGCTTCTAGTTCAGAGGCAGAGTAAAGTTAATGCATGGTGAGGCTGGGTGTTAGCTCCAGGACTTATTTAAGAGTAAAATTTGTGGCCTACGGCTGCGCTCCCTCAGTACGGAACGCAAATTTCTGTAAAATTACCTTCAGAAAGGTCAAGTTAGTTAGGATTCCCTAAACAGATAAATGCATATAGCTTGAAACTTGTGCATAATTGCGGAATGGATAGTTATCGTATTTGAATTATACAACTACAGAAGATTACTGAACTGAATTCTGACAATTCAAACGCACGGCCGTGTGATTATACACGACTGAGCTACTTGTTGTGCGTATACATGACAGCGTTTGTTTGGCCTCACGTCCTTCTGAGTGCAAGTTTAACCTCACGTCCGTCAAATCAGTATGCATCATGCAGAATTGGGTACATTGGTCGCCCGCCCGACAGTAGGAATAAATAACTGACTTACACGTGCATGCCTTATCACCATCTTATACGTTATCAGTCAAGGCCTCCTATTTATTTTTCTATCTACTTCTAGTAGTAGTTGTAGTAGTAGGTTGACGACAACGTGTCAGTATTAACGGAACCGTATCAGACTGGGCAACAGTACGCAGTGGAGTGCCACAAGGAAGCGTCATTGGGCCTGATTTGTTCGTTGCTTTTATAAAAGATCTGCCAGAAGTGCTCCATGAATGCCAAGCGCGTGTGCTCTATGAATGCCGATGACACAAAAGTTTACAATACAGTTAAGGTTTAAGGCACACAAAAGTTTTAATGCCGACTAGTGTAAAGTACTTCAGAAGGGCAAGTTTTACGAATAAAGATTAAAGATTATGAAGGTTCCAAGCCTCTGTTATCGGCTTCTGTGTAGTGACCTCATTGGAGTATACAAGTATACTCATGGTTCATACAAAGTCCCAGAAGGTTTACTAGAATTTTAAACAAGTACCAACACGAGGGGCCACGACTATAATCTAAAAAACTGCGTTACAACTCATCCACGCGACAAACTTCTCGCTTCGAATCACCGACATGTGGAACAGCCTCCCTGATTACCTCGTTGACTCTGAGTACGAACGCGTTCGAAAAGAGACTAGATTAAGCTATGGAGAAATATATGTTCTGCTTGAAATGCCTAACACCATATCGAACCCGGTGGAAGTCTTGTAGCTATTTCAAACTATCATCAGTTTTTAAATGATCCGGTCAAAGGACCTGTTTTTAGATCTCCTGTGAACTAGTCACGAAAATTACAAGAATCGGCGGCAGGCCACACCAGGCCTACTCTTCAGCGTTTACATAACTCTGATGTGAAATGAGCCACTTTTATCTGTTGAAGAAATTTCATTCATTGATCATCATGTATTCCAGACTTGGAGTATGTAGCGACTTGGCCTTGAAGAGCATCAAAAATGTGTTTGCATTTTCCATTGATTTATTGGTTTATGCTTGCAAATCTATAAATTACATTTACACGTATCGTCCTCAGAATTTCTCATTCGTTTGTTATCGCAGTCTATCAAGACTGTACGCAGTCTCAAGGCCCGTTTACACTAGGGGCAACACACGAGAGTCAAGTGCCTCAAAGCGCATGCAGAGGCGCTTTGCAGCCTCTGCATGCGCTTCTTGACCGATTGACGAGCTAGCGATTGACAGGGGCCATGTCTCATGCAACACAAGCGCGGCGCTTAGTAGATAGCTATTAAAGAATTGATATCACTTGTATGCTTAAATCGCAAATTAACTAAGAATTTAAATTGAATTAAAATTTTAAATCAAATTGAAAATCTAAATTGATCAATTAAAGAAATTCAATTCGTTCTATGGTTTTAATGTATTAATTTATGATTCTAGATTCTACGAACTGACTATGGAGCTGGTCTCCAAAACGTTTTCTATAAAGATATGAATTTTTGTGGACTATTCTTTTTTTTAAATTCTTAGTAGATAGATGTCTGTAGTCTAGTAAGGTTGATTGTGTACGCTGGTCCGGCACACCAAATGTCGACTAACATCACTCTCGTTGGAGTCACTCTCTAGTAGAGAGCCTAATTGATCTTTATAGAGAACATGAATGTCTATGGAGTGTTCGGTCAAAGGAGTCCAAAAATCGAAATACAAATGAAGTAAGTTATTTTTACATGACGTGCTTAGTTTATGTGATTTTAGAACTCCTGACAATTTATGCATTACCGTTTAGCGATTTCAAAGGATGATGTAATATCGGTACGAATATTGGAGCTTTTTATTTAAGAATAGACTATATTTTTATAAACTGTATGTTTTTGAATGTGCTACTTCTCTAATTATGATGCCTATGCTGAGTTCTCGTTTACAAATGGCATAGTGCGCAGAATGACGGACCGCAACACACCCGAGAACAATGGCCCACAGCTCAAATTCGGTGACATCCATCGTCATTGACGTCTAGGTGGCAACTAGTGTTCAAAGCGCGCGGTCTCAAACAACCGAGTACATAAGTAGTGTAAACGGTTGTGCGCGGTGAGGCACTGCAGCAAACGACTCAAAGCGCATGTCGTTGCCACTAGTGTAAACGGGCCTTCAGATGTACGCAGGGTGGCGGCTCAGTTATGTACTCGTCAAATTAGGAATATTAATAGTACAATTTTACTAATTATCTCAATTTGGGTGATATCATGAGAAACAGTGATATTATCTTATGAGACTAACATATATATCAAGCATAAAAATGTTTTTTACTATACATTATAACATGCAATTGGTTGCAATAATGTGGCGCTGTGTGTTAAATACTCATTTCCACCTCCTCCCAGTCCCGGACTCAGTTCACAAGTCACAACTAACAGCCTGTGCAGCTGCAGTGTGCATTGAGGCGCCGTAATGGATGGTGGATATAAGTTGGAGTCGTGTATCGGTTAGTCTCTAATGCGACTCGCGCGAAGCGTCATGTGACGGATAATAATTCACCTTTTTAAACGTTATTTCACCATATTCTAGTAATGAGTGTAGTAAGAGCAAGAGTGCACCTTTTAAAACGTCAATTCCCGAAATATTTCAGTGATAACTGTTACATTATTTGTGCAGATATTTTGGTGCCTAGTTTTGCTGCCGTTAAATGAGACGCTTGGTTAAGTGGACTTTTTTATCTTTTATTATTCATGCTTTATCTATTGTTCTACTACTTGATGCTTAGAGTTTATATGCCTATTATAACGTTATTGGTCAATGGTAATAACTAACCTGCGAACTCGTTCCTCAATATTCAATTAAGCATATTATTAGACAAAATTTCTTGCGGGAAACAATGTTAAGTTGTTAACTCGTCGGAACGCAGCCCGAGCAGCTTGTAAGCTGCATTCACTCCTCCCGCCCAGCTGTGGTACAGCATGCATGCCTGACCTCGGATGAAGGTGATAACCTGTTCAGCTCTCATGGCCTCGATGTCAGCGTTTAGTGAATAGAGCGTCACTTGGTCCGGGGGAGGCGGGATGCGGGAGAAAGCATAGGGCCCCGCAAGGGGGGCCGCGGGGGGAGGGGGCCCATACTCAAGTCAGTTTGAAGTCCCAAGTTCAGCTCCTCTTATCTTGTTGACTGCATTTCTTGAGACACCCTGGCGTAGATATTTCTCAATTATTCCGCTAAAGCATTTACATAATTTTTTTGTATTTGTTTTTTTTTTTTATTTGTTAACCTGCTTCTTCAAAACCATGAATTTTGAACAATTTTCTTCGTCTATTTAGGTATTGCAAAATCCTGAAATGCACCATCTTTATTTTAATAGTTTACATGAAACTGCGATGTTGTTGATGAAATTCCTGATTTAAAATTTTTAAACGCCGCGTTTTAAATCAGGTAAACCATGAGCCGACAAATCTCGTGGAAGATATGTCGACGGTACCGTCTGAGGAAGAAAAGTTTGTTGTTGTTAACCCGCTCTCAGCATTTGTCATGACGAAACATTCATTACGCGCTTACTACTTGATCAACTTACAGCGTTATCAGTCACCGCG